TAAACATCATGAAGCTACAGAAGAAGAAATATGAACCAATTTCTTTACAGGATATTTCACTCTGTCTGGTTTGCATCCCCCTCAGATGAAAAAATAATAAACGCTATTAATTTAAATCTTGTTTAGCTGTTCCATCTCCCCACAATAATTGATTCTGCCAGAAACATAATCACATCAGGTTTGCCTGGTGACTGTGCTGCAACACAGTGTCAGAGAGCCTCAGTCCCCATGCTTGCTCTAATTGATTAAAAGATTTGGTCACTTGCACATTTCCATTTAGACAATTAAGCTAAAGAGATGCTACAAACACTGTGGGACCAGCAAAGAGCAATAACGGATAGACTATTTTTGTAGGGAAAATTATGACTTTGGGCTCTTGCAGGAATTAAGGTGTTTCTTTCCCCCTTTCCTCCCCTTGCTACTGATGCCAGAGCCCCAGGACACAGCACGATGGCTGCCACATGGAGGAAACAACTTGCTTTTCCTGCCCTCCAAAGAAGCAGCAGGTCAAAGGGAGTAGATTCTACCCCTCTGCTCTGGGGAGACCCTATCTGGAGTGCTGTGTCCAACTCCAGAGTCCCCAACATCAGAAGGACATGGACCTGTTGGAGCAGGGCCAGAGGAGGCCACAGAGATGCTGCAAGGGCAGGAGCCCCTCTGCTGTGATGACAGGCTGAGAGAGTTGGGGGGGTTCAGCCTGGAGAAGAGAAGGCTCCAGGAAGACCTTCGGGACTAGAAGGGGCTCCAGGAAAGCTGGGGAGGGACTCTGGATCAGGGAGGGGAGCCATAGGACAAGGGGAAAGGGTTTGACACTGAAAGAGGGGAGATTGAGATGAGATCTCAGGAAGAAATTCTTTGCTGTGAGGGTGGTGAGAGCCTGGCCCAGGTTGCCCAGAGAAGCTGTGGCTGCCCCATCCCTGGAGGGGTTCAAGGCCAGGTTGGAGGGGGCTTGGAGCAACCTGGTCTGGTGGGAGGTGTCCCTGCCCAGGGCAGGGGGTGGCACTGGATGGTCTTTAAGGTCCAGCCAAACCAAACCATTCCAACCCAAACTATTCTACGGTTTTATGATAAGCTGCCACGTTTTAAACCTGCATCCCCAAACTCTCAGCCAGGTCTCTGGCAGAGGCCAGGAAGCATGAGCCAGAGGTGACACCAGTCAGGGGACACCATCAGACTCGATTCTCTACCAGAGAGGAGGAAAAGGAAGGCCTCCAGTGCAGAGTCCAGCTATATCTTTTACAAAACCCCCAACTTTCTGAGGGTGTTTGGATGCTGGCTCCACCCAGCAGTCCTGGTTTGGGGCCAAAACGCGTCAGTCATGACCAGCCAACTACAGTGACATCCAATTCCCAGGGAAACCAGCTGAACTACAGCATTTCTTGCCAAAGCAAGGAAGGGAAAACAAACAGGCTCCTTGGCCTTTTCCTCAGCAATCCCGGGAGAGCTGCAGTGGTGATGCAGTTGGAAACGTTGGCAGACTCTACAAATGTCAAAATCCTGAAAGAAGAGATCAAGGCAAAAAAAAAGGAATCACAGCTGTCTTATCTGCACGTTAGTGTGCAGAGCTGTGTGACAAGAGCAGCAAGGCATAAAACCTGGATTAAAAACATCTTGCCAAGAGTAGATCAAAACCAGCACTTCATGTGTCTCCAACAGCACAGATGGCAATGGCTAGTAAGAAGGTAAGAGGCACTGGTGCTGGGCAGGAGGAGCACGTGATTCTACATTTAGTCTCAAGTGATTAAGAACCTGCAAGGCATGGTGGGTTTAAAATGAAAAAAATAATTTAAAAACGGATTTTTATATATAGATAGTCCTGGCTGCAGGGTTTGTGAACTGTGGTGATGTGCACGTGGTAGGGAGGAGAGCGGGGATGGAAGACTCCTCTTCCTGTACCCAGTTAACCCAACCTCCAGCCACGCAAAGGCTGCAGCAGCCCAAGCCCAGAGGCTGAAAACCCAACCAAGGCAGAGAAAGCTCCTTCCAGTTCTGCTTTGTGTCAAAGTGAAGGTTGACCATAATGTGGAACGAGCCTCAGACTTAGCCTTCAGTCTTCTCTCTCAAACCTCTACCGAGCTGGCAGACAGGCGCTGCCGTCCACACGGAAGAGTCCAACAACTAGACCCCATTTCTCCCACAGAAGGTAAATAAATGAGACCATTTTTCAGCACAGTCCCCTGAAAAGCCCTTTCCTTGCCTCCAGGTTGTTGCCATTAGGAAAATAAGAGTTCAGGCATTCGTTATCATTAGGGCCACTGTTGCAGGATTCCTCTGGGAAGTGACAAACGACAGCCACAGGATGACAAGTTAGAGGCACAGGGAAGCTATCGCACACGGTGATTTATCCCAATTACTGCACTTCTCAATTTACACTCGTTTGACTTCCCCGATCCAGCCCCGCACTCCAGACCCAGGCGGCTGCTGCTGCACGACACTGCATTGGGTCATTCTGCAGGGGAACAGAGTTAAATGGTCTGTGGTGCAATACTGGGGACAAAACACCCCATTTCTGGCGATGTTATTGCTTTCTATTTGGTGTTTATGTACCTTCTGTGTAGGGACAGAGGGATAATACACGTGGCAATCATCTTCCACCCAGTACAGTCCCCACTGCAGAATTCAACGCACCGCTGCCAGCTGATACAGGGAAACAAGGAGTGAGCAGCAGCACTACATTTCTCTCCCCAGTCCTTAGACTGCTCCAAAGAAAAGCAACAAAATTCACACATTAAACATGCCATTTGCTGTGTCCTTTCAAGGCAGGGTATGATAAAAACCCATCAAGAGCCCCAATTAACATTTTGGTACAGACTCCCAAATGCAAACTTAACAGGATGACCAATGTCTAAGGCATATATTTAAACTAATGTGCGAGACAGCTTCAAAGTGCCTTCAAAGTTATAGCAATTCTTCTGCACTGGCATTTAAACATTCTCCTGAAACATTTGCATTATGAAAACACAAAGACTATGAAAGACAAAAGATGGTCCTTGGAGGAATTTGGCTGGTTTTGCATGAAATACTGGGATGTCAGACACCCAGCTAAGGGATGGGATGGGGGTTACTGGTGCTGAGCCCCCTGGGGCAGGCAGAGATACCGAAGGAAGCGCAGCCCCCGTGGTCTGAATTAACAAGGTGGAAGACAAAAGAGCTCAAAGAATAACCTCCACGTCCTCCCACTCAGCACTGTTCCACGTCACAGCTTTTATTTCTGCTGAGCCTCTCGGTGTCTCCACCGATCCCATCCCCACTCCCCCGCCTGGAAAAACCTTCCCTCGAAGCCCAGGCGTTGGTGAGTAGGCGCTGGAGCGGCTCGGGTTCAGATCCCAGCAAAGCTCATTTCCTTCAGACAATTAACAACAAAGTAACGCCTCTGAGAAAAGGGTCACTTTATCAACTAAAACGGAAAGTGATTTATTAGCTCCTGTTTTAGGAAGGCAACAGCAAGCAAGTCATCACTTTTCACTCATTGAGAAAGCAACTGAATTGGGGGAAGGGGAAGGTACTTTAAATTAGAAAAATGGTCCCATTTCAAACCAAAGCTACTCACAGCACTTAGCACCTTGGTGGCTTTGCACAGCATGAGCAAAACCATGTTCTCCAGAGCATCAGGAGCCCCAGGGGGTCCCAGACAGTGACCTTCAGGGGGATCCAAACCTCCACAGAGCACTGGGCTCAGGCAGCAGTGCGAACTGCAGGGTGGTGGATGGAGAGGTCTCTGTCTCCTGTCTCCCCAACCCTCCTGCCACTGGTCCCACCTAGGCTGAACCTGCCGGAGCCCAAGAGGGCACAGTTCTTGGGGAGGTGGCACTGAGGAGCCCTCAGATCCTCTTCTGCCTCCAAGAAGTGGAGTGCACCCACCAAGCTCATCCCTACCATCCCTGACCCACAGCAGCTCTCAGCGGGGAGCAGTACAGGCAGGACAGGGAGGAACACTGCTCCTTCCAAACCCTTCCTTCCCCAGTTCCCAAAGTGAAAAGGGCACCCAAAAACACTGTCCCAGGTGTGAGGAACAGGACAGTCAGGGACGCGGACAGTGGGATTGAGGGCACCCTCAGCAAGCTTGCCAACACCACCAAGCTGTGTGGAGCGGTCGACATGCTGGAAGGACAGGATGCCATCCAGAGGGACCTGGACAGGCTGGAGAGGTGAGTCTGTATGAACCTCATGGGGTTCAACCAGGCCAACTGCAGGGTTCTGCACGTGGGTCTTGGCAATCCTGAGCACAAACCCAGGCTGGGTGGAGAATGCCTGGAGAGCAGCCCTGAGGAGAACTTGGGGGTGTTGGTGCATGACAAGCTCAGCATGACCCAGCAACGTGTGCTGGCAGCCCAGAAAGGCCCATGCACCCTGGGCTGCATCCCCAGCCCCGTGGCCAGCAGGGCTAGTGGGGGCGATTCTGCCCCTCTGCTCCACTCTGGGGAGACACCCCTGCAGTGCTGCCTCCAGCTCTGGGGCCAACAACAGCAGAAGGACATGGACCTGTTGGAATGGAGCCAGAGGAGGCCACGGAGATGCTCCAAGGGTTGGAGGCCTTCTGCTGGGAGGACAGGCTGAGAGAGTTGGGGGGGTTCAGCCTGGAGAAGAGAATGCTCTGTCTGGGGAGACCTTAGAGCCCCTTCCAGTCCCTAGAGATGCTCCACGAAAGCTGAGGAGGGACTCTGGATCAGGGAAGGGAGTCATAGGACGAGAGGGAAGGGTTTCTAAATAGAAGAGGGGAGATTGAGATGAGATCTCAGGAAGAAATTCTTTGCTGTGAGGGTGGTGAGAGCCTGGCCCAGGCTGCCCAGAGAAGCTGTGGCTGCCCCATCCCTGGAGGGGTTCAAGGCCAGGTTGGAGGGGGCTTGGAGCAACCTGGTCTGGTGGGAGGTGTCCCCGCCCAGGGCAGGGGGTGGCACTGGATGGTCTTTAAGGTCCCTTCCAACCTAAGCCATTCTATGGTTCTGTGACAGAGTGGAGCAGAGCCCCCATCCCAAAGTACAACCACAACAGTATTTTACCTCCAGCAAAAGACACATTTGTTGGCGCAGGCCAGGCTGGGGGTGGCCTCCATGCAGCGGTGGCTCTCAATCCCGTAAAATGTGTGTTTGTAGCAGCCTCCTCGGCCTCGAAGCATCGACTATTGGCAGAGAAAGACACACACAAATACAAAAAAAAGAAGTTAAACACACCATCTGTAACCAGAGTGCAAAGGTTTGAAATCTGCTCCCTGGGCATGTTTGTAGTTTTCAGTCACTGGTAATTTTGCTGTTCAGAGTGACCGGTGACACGTGAGTGAGGTCACGGCTGGGGAGCAAGTCTGAACGAGGATGGATGCAGGAAGAAATCCACAGCAGGCAGAGCTATCCAGTCTGATTGCTTATATATGGCCTTACAGAAGCATGGCACTTACGATGTCAACTTTACAACTGTTTTAGAGGAGAGAAACTTTAACATAATCAATAACTCCTCACTCTCAGCCCTGCAGGATAACAACGTGCTCTACCGAAGCTTTTCACTGAATCAGCCAACAAAAGCGGGCGGGTGAAGCCACTTAAGCTGCAAGAAATATTATTGTAAAAGCCCACTAAAGAGTAACAAAGATCAATTTCAAGGCTGCACTACTGAACACTCAATTGTTCTCATTTGTCTGGTAGAGAATTTCTTCTAGCACTAAATTAAATAAATACCCTGACCTTATAAAGGCCCTTCCCAGCAGCCAGCGGCTCCAGCGGGACGCGGCACTTTCCCTCCCGGCGGAACCGCAGCAGCCTCCCCACCGGGATGGATCTGCTGCTCAGTGTGCCAGTGGCTCTCGTTAGCTCCATTAAATAATAATAAATCATAGAATCATAGAATTTCCCAGGCCGGAAGGGACCTCCAAGGGTCATCTAGTCCGACCCCCCCGCAGTCAGCAGGGACACCCCCAACTAGACCAGGTTGCCCAGGGCCTCATTGAGCCTCTCCTTGAATATCTCCAGGGATGGGGCCTCAACCACCTCCCTGGGCAACCTGTTCCAGTGCTCCACCACCCTCACAGTGAAGAACCCTCTCCTCATCTCCAGTCTAAATCTGTTCCCCTCCAGCTTAAAGCCATTGCCCCTCGTCCTGTCACTGCAGGCCTTTCTAAACAGGCTCTCCCCAGCCTTCCTGTAGGCCCCTTCAGGTACTGGAAGGCCGCTATTAGGTCTCCCCGGAGCCTCCTCTTCTCCAGGCTGAACAACCTCAGCTCCCTCAGCCTGTCCTCGTAGCAGAGGTGCTCCATCCCCCTGATCATCCTTGTGGCCCTCCTCTGGACCCTCTCCATCAGGTCCATGTCCTTCTTATATTGAGGGCTCCAGACCTGCACACAATACTCCAGGTGAGGTCTCACCAGAGCAAAGTGGCAGAATCACCTCTCTGGACCTGCTGGCAACGCTTCTTTTGATGCAGCCCAGGATGCGATTGGCCTTCTGGGCTGCAGCTGCACACTAAGAATCTTTACTCCTTTTCAAGAGAAAACGTGAAATATGACCTTCTTCTACCTGAGGAGGCCTGGTGATCCAGGAGAAAGTCCCCACTGAGCAGCGGGAAGAGCACACCCAGGTAACGTCTGGCACGGGCACAGCCTTGGCACACTCTTGGGAGATTAAACAACGTGGAATTCTAACGCTCTCAAACAACAGAGATTTTAAGAGTTTCACAAATTCTAGGAGAGCAAGTTATATTTTGGATTTCGCAAGACAGGCAAATCAAGAGATTCTCCCTAAAATTTGCAGGGTTTATGCTCTTTTCCAGAATGTGACAGAACACAATCGCTTTAATCTACACTATCGCTATGATACTTTACTTAATTCTAATCCTTCCAGCCCTGCTCCCGCTCTCCACTGATACAAATCTCAAACAAGCCCCCTGAAGATATTCATATTGGTGTGAATCTGAGTCAAAGCCACTGCCTGTAACCAATTTCAGCTCCATTTATTAGAACACTTTACATTCAATTCCTGCTTAAGCTAAAAATAGTAAGGTTCTATCTAAGCACACAGAGCTGCTATTTATTTTGTGAAATGGCTTTACAGTGCTGCACGAAATTCCGGTTCTTTAACAAAAATAGGTCCTCAGGTTCTCTCTCCATCACAGCACTAAGTTTGACAAGTTTTTCTTTAAACATTTCAGAGTCTTCTCCAATGCTGAAAGTGACAGAAGAGAGAAATATTTGCAAGAGTAAACAGCAGAAGCAGCGGTGGGATCAGTAGGTCTCACAAATATTCACACCAATGCAGCGTTGGGCTCTTTAAACCCTTCACAAAAACAAGTCTTTTGATGAAAAGGTTCGTTGATACCAGGCATTTCAGTAAGAAAACCTGGCTGCAGCCCCCACCCTGGTGATTGCCATTCAAAGAGCTCTTTTCAAAAAAATAAACAAAGTTAATCATGCAGCAAAAGAGATCCCAGAGACCAAAAGATCCCTGCCACAGCACACCAGCTAGAGATGCGCAGGCATTTTAACGAGCTGATGATTCCCACCGTTTATCACCCTGTGAAGGCTTCAGTGTGTTCTATCAGTGTTGCTTCCCAAAATATGTAACATTAGAGATCGACTTTTCGTTTCTGAGCTGCTCAGGGACTGCCACAGGACAGCCAAAACAGCAAACACACGGAAGGGACTGAAGTTTGTTCGATGGGGCTCTGTGCCTCCCCATGGGGAACATTTTTAAGTCTGCAAATAAGTGAATTGAAAAGCTCCTGGTTTAGGGTTTAGACGGCCTGAAGCACACAGCTGTAGGGCTGGGAGGATGGCTCTTCCATAGATACGTGTACACACACACACACACATATACCCACAGACACATCATACATAACTATATACACATACACACACTGCCACAGAGGAATTTTTAAGAAGTCCTAGTGTTAACAAGTGACAGTTACCTGTCTAAATCTCATGTGGCAGATGCTCAAAGCCAGTGGAGGAGGCACCGACAGAGCAGCTGCATCAGCCACACAACAAGAGGTTTAATGGCCCCTGTGTGCCAACCCGAGTGTACCCACTGTGGTACCCTCCTTCCAGACCTCACACTGCTGGGAACCTTCCCACTTCCCTCTCGCTGCTCTGCTCCCGCCGTACATTCAGCAGGCAGCAGAAAAACAGGAAAAAAAACCACCCCAACAGAGAATGATGCTCCCAGCTCTTTGCTACAGTCGCGTTCTCACTCTTCACAGAGGGATTTTAATAGCTTGAAATGCAGAACTACAGCTTGGAAGATGAAATTTGGTTTCTTGCAAGCAATAGCACATTTTAAATGATATTTTTATGTATTACGTATTTTTAAATACAATTAATTGTATTACCTGAGTAAGTTTCTAGCATGGTTTTTAACTTCTGAAATGAGAAAGAGCATACCTTTGTCCAGCGACAGAGCTTCACCCCGGAATGGCTTCCAATCAGCTTGTAACCTGGAAACAAGAAATAAATCAAGCCATCAATCTTAACTTGCAGTAATTGATAAACAAAGCTTATCAGTTGGTGCACACAGTTATCAAACATCACCGCCTCAACGCTGCTCCTCCCTGCTGGCCCAAAGGTAACACCACCACCAGGACATCAGTGTCCATCCACAGCACTCTCCATGTCATTCTGGGCACCTGCATGTCCCACCACAGGCCATGGCCACCCAAGGGACTTTGTCCAACCTGAACCCATTTCTCTTAATAGGAGATTTATTTAGATTCCTCAGTCCTGTCTGAATCAACAGGTGGTGGCCACAAGACTTCTCCATAACAGGATGGCAGAAGAACAGGTTTAGCCCAGCAACGTGGGACATCTGCACCAACCCCAGGGGACAGCACATGGGAGGGAGCAGGACAGGGAACCAGAAGCATCTCCCTGGCCCAGGGTCACCCCAGGACCAACTCCTTCTCAAGGAGACACCTTCCCACTGCTCCTCAGCAGGTCTGACCAAGACTGGAGAACATCATCTGACTTGTGGTGCAGTTGTGAGAGTGGAGGAAGGGAACTGAAACGTGGGGCTCGGCTTGAACCCAAACTTCACAGGCTCACCAGTTTCTCCAGTTCCATCTCCACTGGCCGCGGTGGAGGCACAGTGAAGAAGCTGCTCCTCCGTGCCCAGAGGAAAGCTGATTTCACATCGCTTCCCTGTTCCCCAGCCAAGATCATTTAAATTTATTAGTCCAGGAGGATTAATTCCACAACGTTCGTTAAGCACTAAGTACTATTATTACCCAAACTGCTTGAGTTGGGTTATTTTCCTTTCTGAAAAAAAGTGCTTAGAGACCAGTATGTCTGAAGGATTAAAAGTCACTTCAAAATCAGCATAAAAATAAGAGGGATTTGAGGAGCCTCACTGTGTCATTCACACAGGAGCGTTTCTACGTCAATGGCCTGGTTGTCCCCAAACCCAGCAAGTCTCAACCAGCCACTTTAGGCTGATGTTTATATTAACGCTTGAGAGGAAAATCAAATTTTTGGTGTCAAGTCTCCTTTCTGCCAACCAGCATGAGCTTAACAAGGAGAAAAACCTCCTATTCAGCAGAAGAACTGGCCTTCACCTCCTACAATGACAGGTGGCACGATTACCCTGCCCATTTGTCACCATGTGCCACCTGCGCAGCAAAATCCCAGGGCAGTGCCACTGCTCCCCAGAGTCCCCTCCACCTCCAAGGACACGAAGCCAGCCGGGAACTACAGTGACAGCAGATGCCACAAGAGCTGCACCAGCTAAAAATCCAACCTTGTGAAGACACACGTGGCTCATGAGGAATGGCAGAGCACTGAGAACACGCTGCTCTAGTTGCTCTGTCCCTTAAACCCTGTTCCTGCCTCCTCCCACTGCTCTAAGCTCGCTGAGGGTTAGGACATATGACATTTTAGCCCGATTGTCCCCTGAGGGGACTCTCCAGGAGGCTGTAGAACACTTGGGGAGGTGACTGGCAGGAGGAAGCAGTGGGACTCCCAGTTCCATGGCAAAGGGGCCAATTGCCAGATTAAGGGAGGCTTTGGTGACTTCAGTGCCAGGCTGCTCCCACGACCTGCAGTCCCTCTCCCCCTCCAGCCCAGGGGGAATGGACAATATTTTTCATCCTTTCGCTCCCTAAATGAGTAACTCCCCAAGCCTGACGTGTATCTTCAGGGTTAAGCCAATACAGCCAGGAAGAACAAGCAGCTGTGAACCAAAAAGCCTTGGTATTTCACAGATCATCCAAGCTTTTCCTGCAGAAACTTTCCTGTAACCCTGATCAGCACTTCTGACATGGAACTAACTGAGAGTCTGCAAAGCCACATGCAATACTGGGGACACCTTTATTTAGGACTGGATGAGACCCAGGAGACCTGTACACACAACCGCCTTTGGCTGCTCCACACCATCTCTTCTGGCCCCGGGGCTGTCCTGCCCAGTTCTCCTGCCTTTCTTTGCAAAAAAGCTTGTCCAGCAAGATCTCATCTCAGCTGAGACCTCCCTCGCTGCTACAATTCCTGTCCTTACAGGATTTCTTGAGGAGCATGGCAAAGGGTGACACATTCCTCCTCCCTCTGGTGTCACCCAGCACAGGCCTAGCCGCATTTCTCCCATTTTTCAGAATCCAGCAACAGCATTCACTCAAGATTATTCTCTCACAGATCACTTGTAAGTAGAAGCAATATGGCTGCTTTAAAATGGGTTTTAGATTAAAGTTAAACTGAAAATAGGACACGCTTGCCCAGATCTGCTACCGAGTAGTTTGAGGGAAGGGAGGAAGCAGCTCAGCTGAGTGAGGTGCCAAGCTCTGGAGCCCAAAGCTGCAGCATTTTCTCTTAAGTTACTTAAATCAACTTCCACCCACAGCTTCCTCTAAAGGCCAAGAAAATTGAACACGTTCAACATCAAAACAGAGACTTCCAAACTTCAGCCAGCTTTAGTGATGAGAACAGGGTTACTCATCACGTTTGCTACTGCCAGGACTTGCAGTGATGGTTTACAAGAAGGAACAGCACATACTTGCAGAAGTTCTAGAAGCTCTGTATGAAGCTGTTGAACTTGGGTCTTCAAGGTGTAGAATCATATAATGGTTTGGGTTAGAAAGAACCGTAAAGCCCCCCCAGTGCCACCCCCTGCCCTGGGCAGGGACACCTCCCACCAGACCAGGTTGCTCAAAGCCCCCTCCAACCTGGCCTTGAACCCCTCCAGGGATGGGGCAGCCACAGCTTCTCTGGGCAACCTGGGCCAGGGTATCACCACCCTCACAGCAAAGAATTTCTTCCCCACATCTCATCTCCATCTCTCCTCTTTCAGTTTAAAACCCTTTCCCCTCATTCTATGGCTCCCCTCCCTGATCCAGAGTCCCTCCCCATCTCTCCTGGAGCCCTTTTAGGGACTGGAAGGGGCTCTAGCATCTCCCCAGACAGAGCCTTCTCTTCTCCAGGCTGTACCCCTCCATCTCTCTCAGCCTGTCCTCACAGCAGAGGGGCTCCAGCGCTTGCAGTGTCTCTGTGGCCTCCTCTGGCCCCGCTCCAATGGATAGGTTGGAATGTTCCAATGTAGGTTAAGTCCAGCAGAAAGTGTGGTTACCCTGCTGAGCCATCACAGTGCACACTGGCTGTACCATGCTTTTTCACACTTGGAAATTAGATAAAACACCAGTGACCAAGGCCAAACCCTCTCTACACATCTACTCCAGGTGACCAGGGTCCTTCTATCTCCATAAAGCCTGGTTCTTCAAGCTTTTGTTTCACTGCTGGCTGGTAACACCAGCAGCAAATGAGTTCAGCCTAAAAGAAAGTAGAAAGGGTTAAGAAAGAACCAAGCACCACCAAGTTTCAAACCAAATGTGTGAGAAAACATGTTTGAGAACCATTCTGAGGGGCTTCTCAGCTCTGTTTCCACACCATAGCTTCTGCTGAACAACCCTTCGGAAAGTTCAGGCTAGTTCCTCTGCCATCAGCTCTGCCACAGCTTCATCAGAGAAGCACAGAATGGTTTGGGCTGGAAGGGCTCTTGAAGATTATCTTGTTCCAACCTCCTACCAAGGGCAGGGACACCTGCCACCAGAACTTCTCTGTGGCCCTGCCAAGGCCAATGGTGCTTGAATCGAACCTTACTGATGGCCCAGAAACCCTCACCGACGTACACCAGGGCTCACCGACCACGTTCGCTTCTTTGCTCTAAGAGATATTCCTTGTGAGCAATGACTGTATGTGAAGATTTGGATCCCCCACCTCCCAAACCATACAGTGTGTTGATGGGGCTCTGCTCACAGTCCCCATGGATCTTCAGATGCTGAGGCTGAACAAAACCAATCCACTTATTTCTGCAGCCTAATATTCAAAGGATTCCTTAAATAATAAGGAGGCTCAAAGTAATCAGCTCAGCTCCTGACTAAAGACATCTAATCTGGACTCTTTGCATGAGCTGATGCTGCTCTAGATGATAAATTCTGAATGGCCCAGAAGCTTGCCAAACTTCACCGAAATTGTCATTTCTTACTATAGTAAGAAATGAGTTAAGCTTTTAAACAAGCTTTTGGGTGAAATGAGTGTTATCAGGCAATAACACCAGGCTGATAAAGATTTGGTGATCACTCACCATGACAATCCCAAGGGAGTCTGACAGACCACAGACAGCTTTAAACTCAGAGATGGCCGGCACCACAGAGGGCAACTGCTCCACTCTCTGGGGCAAAACACTTCTGCGACCATTTAAAACTACATTGCAGCATTTCCACTCTATCACGTAAGTAATCAGAGAGTCCTAGAATGGTTAGAGTTGGAAGGGACCTTAAAGATCACCCAGTGCCACCCCCTGCCCTGGGCAGGGACACCTCCCACCAGACCAGGTTGCTCCAAGCCCCCTCCAACCTGCCCTTGAACCCCTCCAGGGATGGGGCAGCCACAGCTTCTCTGGGCAACCTGGGCTGGGGTCCCACCACCCTCACAGTATTTATTTCTAGTATCTAATCTAAATCTCCCCTCTTTCTGCTTAAAACCATCCCCTCTCATCTTATCGCTACACTTCCCAACAAAGAGTCCCTCCTCAGCTCTCCTGTAGCTCCCTTCAGATACCAGAAGGCTACTATAAGGTATAAGTCTTCTCTCCTCCAGGCTGAACAACCCCAGCTCTCTGCCTGTCTTCATAGGAGAGGTGCTCCAGCCCTCTGATCATCTCCGTGGTCCTGCTGGACCTGTTCTAACAGGTCCATGTCCTTCCTGTGTTGAGGACTCCAAAGATGGACACAGTGTTCCCGGGGGGGTCTCACGAGAGCAGAGGGGCAGAATCACCTCACTCGACCTGCTGGCCATGCTTCTTTTGATACAGCAAGCTTTCTGGGCTGCCAGTGCGCTTTACCGGTTCATGCTGAGCTTCTCATTCACAAGCACTCCCAAGTCCTTCTCTTCAGGGCTGCTCTCCAGGCATTCTCCACCCAGCCTGGATTTGTGCTCGGGATTGCCATGTCCCAGGTGC